GGGCTATGTGGGCTACTGGTCAGTAATAGCCAAATAACAATTTAGGCAGTGTTTTAGGCTACTGTTGTAAGTAATACAGTCTATACGCTGAGTTGTTTCCAAGGGTGGACTTGACCGGCCTGCAAACTCATATTGAAATCCAGAATATAAATCAAGGTCAACCAAGTCATCTTTTTTTTTTTCTCTCTCCATTGAATATTCTGTTTTACTTGGGGAAAAATGTCACATTAAAGCGTAATATAGGTTGAGTTTATATGTATAATTAAATATGTTTATTTGGGATTATTATTATTATTATTAAGTTTTATAGGAAATTTTACCAAAAATTAATAGTTATATTGATGCTCAGATGATTGAGGAATAGTTAATAATTTTAAAAACTTTAAATTCCGCCACTATTGACATACCCTCTCATTAAAAAATGTCCAAATGTATGTGAAACACAAAATAAGACATTTTTGAAGAATCATCACACATTTCATTAGTGACAGATTCCAAAAGTGACCATTTCTGTCAAGCTTCAAAAAAAGACAAAAATACACACAAACAAGTATAGCATGACTCACATGACTCATATAGCTCATATAACTCTACATCAGTATATCAAAAATGTGTCATGCTAGGTTATAACAAACATATTCCATTTTTCCGACTATGACAGCATTGAAGTTGACGGATAATTTAATCTGGAAGTGAACACATTCTGGATGTGACCTTCAGAAGAAAATTGCCAAGATTGTCAGTGAATAACAACATAAACCTTAATTTTTGCTAATGTAATGTTTCTATTTTGTCTGTTTTTGTTTCAGACTATCCTCACGCCATCACTATTGTGTCTCCGTGTTCGGGCTCTGATAAGAAGCAGGTGTTGAATTTCTGTGCTCAGAGCGCAGAGGAGCTGCTCAAGTTCGTAGAGGACCTGAAGGAGTCCATCGCCGAGGTGTCAGAGATGGAACAGATACGTATTGAATGTGAGTAGGATGTGTGTCAAAATATGAAGTGCATGTGTATAAGAGAATACAGATGTATTCATGTTTGATGTGTAGCTGATCTCACATAATTTGTGCAGCAGACATGAATGATACCACACAACATGCAGTCTGTCATTACTTTTCTAAGCAAATGGTATTCGTCTGACTGACAAAACCCTTTTCTTTATAGCGAGACTTTTTTGAAGGAATGATCTGAGCCATATCTATAGAGAACAGAATATCATAGACTTGTGGGTGGCTCTTTTGAGTTGAGCTAGTAAGCAATCAAGTGAAAAGATACTTTTTCACTTGATTTTATTTCTCTTGCTTCGTGATGTGAATCAGCAGTCATCTCTTGAATATTGGACAGTGTTTCCATGGTAACTCTGGGTAATGCTGCCCATTTGCTGGGTTAACAGAAGTAACCCAGTTGTTGGCAGCTGTAGTAAAACAAATGCCGAGACACCTATGATTATTTTATTTATTTTTTTTACTTGCATTCCCTGGGAATCAAACCCATAACCTTGGTCATACTAGTGCCATGATCTACTGTTTGAGCTGCAAGAAAGTTGCTATGAATGATAACACACAACATGCAGTCTGTCGTTACTTTTCTAAGCAAATGGTATTCGTCTGACTGACAAAACCCTTTTCTTTATAGCGAGACTTTTTTGAAGGAATGATCTGAGCCATATCTATAGAGAACAGAATATCATAGACTTGTGGGTGGCTCTTTTGAGTTGAGCTAGTAAGCAATCAAGTGAAAAGATACTTTTTCACTTGATTTTATTTCTCTTGCTTCGTGATGTGAATCAGCAGTCATCTCTTGAATATTGGACAGTGTTTCCATGGTAACTCTGGGTAATGCTGCCCATTTGCTGGGTTAACAGAAGTAACCCAGTTGTTGGCAGCTGTAGTAAAACAAATGCCGAGACACCTATGATTATTTTATTTATTTTTTTTACTTGCATTCCCTGGGAATCAAACCCATAACCTTGGTCATACTAGTGCCATGATCTACTGTTTGAGCTGCAAGAAAGTTGCTGTGGTTGTGACATTAATGGGCAGAAAAGTTACAATTCTACAATTAGCTGTCATCTACACAGCCACACATCTTTTCTTTTCCACATAAAGGAACTTCTCTTTACAATCCAAGCATGAATAAATGCCTTTGTGCATTGATACTTTTACTTGCATTTCATGTCTTTGTCTTTATTTTAGAATTGCAAATAAAGACAATCCTCATTTGCAGTTAATGTGTGTTGAACTGAGGCAGGTAATCTGCTGTCCTGTTATCCAAAGGGGCTCTGGAGGTTCTGCTGTGGATTAATACTCTCAAATTTACTCTTTCTAAATGACTGAAATGTAGAAAAATGAACTGGTGTTTCTAGGAGAATATTTCAAGAATAAAAATATTGAATAGAGGGGCAAAATTGATCAAAATAACAGTACTTGTTTATCCATATTTGATAATACTTTTTGACATCAGTAATGGTTGATGGAATAACAACAACAACAACAATAATAATAATAATAATAATAATAATTTAAATATTAATATGTAAGCATCATATTTCAGTGTAAATGCAATCATTAAGTTTGAAACATCAACCAAAATAAGATAAAACAGAACGCACTGCTTTTCAACCCTACTTCTGTTTACAAATGTGAAGGCTGCTTATTGGACCAGTTAATTTCTGTGTAATATCATTCTCGTTTTGCGGTCTTAGCTGCTCTACTGTTTATTTGCACTGCATTTTTGTAAACATGGTGTGTATAAGTTTGCTTTCCCTGTGCGTTTGTCCTTTAGGACTCTCACTGAGCTGTTTTGATGTTCTATAATAAATGAAATGTTTCGTTTGCACAGTGCTGTCAGGCTTTCAAACATCCTCTGAAGGAACTGAGAAGGAAAGACATGGAAGCAGGAACAGAGAAATGTCTTTTGGTTTCCATGAGGGAGAAAGACACAAAGAGAGACAGAAAGAGAAAGGGCTGAGTGCCAGTGGACATCAAAGCATGTATTCTGCTGAGGCCGGTTGGTTTTCATTACATTCTGAGCTAGAGAGAGCAAGGGTCCATGGAAAGTCTTGTGCTGGATGTGTATCTGTGTCAGCAGTTTCACCGGGAAAAGAGAGATAAGCACCTTTACTCTCTTTCAGGAATACAGCTGTTGGTGAACTGAGAGCTGTCATCTACACAGCCACACATCTTTTCTTTTCCACATAAAGGAACTTCTCTTTACAATCCAAGCATGAATAAATGCCTTTGTGCATTGATACTTTTACTTGCATTTCATGTCTTTGTCTTTATTTTAGAATTGCAAATAAAGACAATCCTCATTTGCAGTTAATGTGTGTTGAACTGAGGCAGGTAATCTGCTGTCCTGTTATCCAAAGGGGCTCTGGAGGTTCTGCTGTGGATTAATACTCTCAAATTTACTCTTTCTAAATGACTGAAATGTAGAAAAATGAACTGGTGTTTCTAGGAGAATATTTCAAGAATAAAAATATTGAATAGAGGGGCAAAATTGATAGTACTTGTAGTACTTGTTTATCCATATTTGATAATACTTTTTGACATCAGTAATGGTTGATGGAACAACAACAACAACAACAACAACAACAATAATAATAATAATAATACATAAATAAATAATACAAAATAAATATTGCAAGTGCAAGAGTTATAAGTAATATTTTTTATTAACCTATAATAATTATAAATAAACCATAATAACCTTTAATTTTTAACCTATTTAAATTAGCATGTTAATTGACAGCCCTAACATAATTACCTTTAACTAAACAATTAAAAAATACACACACTTCAGCCAAGAATCAGCCAAGATGACAACTTAAACATGATGTATACATTTTTTATGTTGTTATTTTAAACACCATTATTATTATTATTGTTGTTGTTGTTGTTGTTGTTGTTGTTAATGAAACAAGTGTAACTCATGAATCAACAAAAAACAACAATAATTTTAAAATCATTAATAAATAAAAAAAATACAAAAAAATAAAAGAGTGAATGAGTGCATAAAAGAGGAAATAAAACAGTAGAATGAATTATTGTATGATTTTATTTATTTATTTAATTATTAATCACACTAAATTTATTGACAGGTCTAATTATATTGCTTTTGACTTGCTGTCATTACATGAAAACTTTTTTTTTTTTTAATCAACATGAACATCAACATTTTTCAATTTCATTATATTACTTTTTTTTTTTTCAACTGCTTACACACAAAATCTTTACTTGTCACACAATTTCTGAAACCTGACACTCAAACACCAGAAGCACACACCACATCTGCAGAACCATACACTAATTCTCGGCCTTTGACTCAGTTTTCAATTTCATAAAACACTTTTTGCAAAACACAACACACAATTCTCTATGTAACACACAAAAATCTAACAGGAATTAATATTATGGCAAAGGTGTTTGCAAATGTTTGCTTTTGAGATGTGTTTGTGATATTTTGAATGTGTTTGTGATATTTTGAATTTTGAGATGTGCGGCATTTTGCATTTTGTGTGTGCAATTCTAGGATTTGTGTGTAAAGTTTTGAAAAGAAAGAGGCAAAGTTTTGAAAATGTGTGTAAGCAGTTGACTGTTGAACAGACAGTTGAATAAAAACTGTTTTATTCCCATTTGTATGTACACCTTTTCAGTTCTCTGGAATAAAAGAGGACACATTTTCCCCTCCTTTTATCCTTGAATTTACTACTGTAATAAATACCTTTAGTTAGGTAGCACGCTGTGTTTTAGTATCCGGGTGATTGGTTGTCAGCTATTCTTTGTGCACTCACAGGTTTTTATGAAAGCATAGTCCTTTCTTATGGCTTCATTAAATCAGAAGACATATTTCCCCTAAAAGAGTCCTAATGTAGAGCGAGAGCTTTCTTACAATTCTTTTGGAAGAGGGAAAAGCTCTTTTGTAGCCTGATTAGAATTGACAGGCAATTATCATCAAGCCCTGAGTGTAAGTATGGTGATTTGGAGCTCTGCTGTTTAGAGATGGACGACTCAAGGTTTAGAGGATGTGAGCATGCAGCCAAAACTCACTCCATCAAGAACAACGGGACTCAGCTTGAGTTGAGGGGAAGACAAGGTTCTCGTTCAGGTACAATACAGTCAGAAACACATCTATTTGCTGTATTTCACATGATTTGCATTCAATATCAGTTTAGGTAATAGGGTACAACGGGGCTAAAGGCCCACCTTAAGAAAAAATGTGCTATTCACTGCGCTTAAAATGTATAATTGCAGAAGAAAATTTTTTTACGTTGTATTGAACATTAATGGAGCAACAGATTTTGTGTGAAAATAAATCATTCAAGTTGTTTATTTTGTTTAAAAATCT